GTTGAATAAGAAAAACGCCTCTACAACTATCCCATCTCAATTTATTGTTAGAAATAAGACCTATAGTGATCCTGATGTTATTTCATGTGAATTTAATAACTTTTTTGTGAATGTGGGTTCCTCTCTGTCAAATAAAATTTAGAAAACTGATGGAAATCCCTTGGATTACATTAAGGTACATTTCCCTTCTCTGATTCAGTTTGATCCTCCTGATGAAATGGAGGTGATGGAGGTAATTAGTAACTTAAAGATATCAGCAGCAGGTCATGATGTGATTGGTGCCACTTTGGTGAAATCAGTGTCTTCCTCGATCACTGAGCCTCTAACGTATATTGTCACCAAATCTATGCAAACTGGTATTGTTCCTAAAGATTTGAAAGTTGCCAAAGTTATCCCCCTCTATAAATCTGGGGATCCAAGATCTTTAACAAATTATCGCCCCAATATCTGTACTACCATGTTTTATATCTGTACTACCATGTTTTATATCTGTACTACCATGTTTTATATCTGTACTACCATGTTTTATATCTGTACTACCGTGTTTTTCTAAAATCCTAGAAAAATGTGTGTATAAGAGAAAGTTGAAACATTTAAATCAACACTGTATTCTATATTCTATTCTACATCCAACAACACCTTTACTCAAACGGGCACCAGCATCATACATACACCCACTAGTCTATTGAAGAAGTGAGGAAGCTGTCTTCATGCATGCTTCAACTTCAAATTTAGCACAGTGCTGTTGGCATTTATCCATATTCCATTTTCCACCACACAGCAGAAAACATATCCAGGACACCCATTACAAACCGCCAAACAATAGCCTGTGGTATTACATTTGCAGTAACATAAAAAAAATACCACAATAACATAAGGGGAAGAAATAAAAAAGACAACAGTATCTCTACTTCCACAAAAGCCTTAATCTGAACACCTAAATGGGAAGATTTGCTGGTGACGTGTATGGGGGTAGACGGTTGCTTGGTTTGCACCCATGGTTCTTAACTGAAAAGACAGATGGGAAATAGGTGACCTCATCACCTGAGCATATGCCCCTTCAGCAGGTGAGAAAAGTGGCAGGCTTTAGAAACGCTGTGTCGGAACAAGATGGTTGAATGACTACTGAGTTTCCGTGGTGATCTATTCTGTAATACTGGGAAGCCTCACTTACTGTAAATTATAGAAGATTGTGTGCGTCAATTACCTTTCATTTCTTTAAAATTTGGAGGAGAGCAAATTATTTGTTAGACAGGCAACTCAAATACCATATATACAAAAAAGAGTGTAACCTTAAAGGGATACTTCGGATTTTGGCAAAAATAGTATGCTAGCAGATACCCATAGACTTCCAGTCATTGCGCTAACGCTAGTTAGCATTGGCTTGCGAAACTACCTCTAACTTCCTTCATACTGGACACAGAGACATAAAAATGGTATCCACAAGTTCCTCCAGAGTGGGATCTCTGCAACTTTTAGAGTTATGATCCAATTGTAAGCATTACCAATAGAGTAAATGGGAAAATTGACTCAAAATTGTTGCCCCCAGTTAGTGATTTGCAGGATAAGCAATGATACAAGTAAAATGAGGGATGTCATTGGCTACATTGCCAGTTACGCAAATATTTCTGTATAAAATGGACCATCATTTTTTAACTAGCAGAGATCCCACTCTGGAATGTTGATATGCCCGTAGAGTATATTATGTTCAACAATATATTGAAAAATGCGGCAAATAAAAGTTTTTATACAGTTGAAGTCTAATGTTTACATACACTTAGGTTGGAGTCATTAAAACTTGTTTTTCAACCACTCCACAAATTTCTTGTTAACAAACTATAGTTTTGGCAAGTCGGTTAGGACATCTACTTTGTGCTTGACACAAGTAATTTTTCCAACAATTCTTTACAGACAGATTATTTCACTTATAATTCACTGTATCACAATTCCAGTGGGTCAGAAGTTTACATACACTAAGTTGACTGTGCCTTTAAACAGCTTGGAAAATTTCAGAAAATGATGTCATGGCTTTAGAAGCTTCTGATAGGCTAATTGACATCATTTGAGTCAATTGGAGGTGTACCTGTGGATGTATTTCAAGGCCTACCTTCAAATTCAGTGTATCTTTGCTTGACATCATGGGAAAACGAAAATAAATCAGCCAAGACCTCAAGACCTCCACAAGTCTGGTTCATCTTTGGGAGCAATTTCCAAATGCCTGAAGGTACCACATTCATCTGTACAAACAATAATACGTAAGTATAAACACCATGGGACCACGCAGCCGTCATACCGCTCAGGAAGGAGACGTGTTCTGTCTCCTAGAGATGAACGTACTTTGGTGCAAAAAGTGCAAATCAATCCCAGAACAACAGCAAAGGACCTTGTGAAGATGCTGGAGGAAACAGGTACGAAAGTATCTATATCTACAGTAAAACGAGTCCTATATCGACATAACCTGAAAGGCCGCTCAGCAAGGAAGAAGCCACTGCTCCAAAACCGCCATAAAAAAGACAGACTATGGTTTGCAACTGCACATGGGGACAAAGAGCATACTTTTTGGAGAAATGTCCTCTGGTCTGATTAAACAAAAATAGAACTGTTTGGCCATATTGACCTTCGTTATGTTTGGAGGAAAAAGGGGGTTGCTTGCAAGCCGAAGAACGGCATCCCAACCGTGAAGCACGGGGTGGCAGCATCATGCTGTGGGGGTGAATTGCTGCAGGAAGGACTGGTGCACTTCACAAAATAGATGGCATCATGAGGAAGGAAAATTATCTGGATATATTGAAGCAACATCTCAAGACATCAGTCAGGAAGTTAAAGCTTGGTCGCAAATCGGTCTTCCAAATGGACAATGACCCCAAGCATACTTCCAAAGTTGTGGCAAAATGGCTTAAGGACAACAAAGTCAAGGTATTGGACTGGCCATCACAAAGACCTGACCTCAATCCTATAGAAAATGTGTGGGCAGAACTGAAAAAAAGCGTGTGCGAGCAAGGAGGCCTACAAACCTGACTCAGTTACACAAGCTCTGTCAGGAGGAATGGGCCAAAATTCACCCAACTTATTGTGGGAAGCTTGTGGAAGGCTACCTGAAACATTTGACCCAAGTTAAACAATTTAAAGGCAATGCTACCAAATACTAATTGAGTGTATGTAAACTTCTGACCCACTGGGAATGTGATGAAATAAATAAAAGCTGAAATAAATCATTCTCTCTACTATTATTCTGAAATTTCACATTCTTAAACTAAAGTGGTGATCCTGACTGACCAAAGACAGGGAATTTTTACTAGGATTAAATGTCAGGAATTGTGAAAAACTGAATACTACATGTATTTGTCTAAGGTGTATGTAAACTTCCGACTTCAACTGTATGCTTTTATGTTTTTATGCTTTTAGATACAAATGTCAAGTATATGTCAACAATCCTTCCTACAAAGGACCATTCTATGGATAACATGTTTTGGGAAAATCAACAAATCTTGGTATATTTTTGTCCTGATTTCTTGAGGAATCACTCATGAAGCAACTGGTCGGTACTTAAGAGAACAGAACAGGAACAGGGCTGAACGGCTATTTCCACTGGCACTATTTCCTGGAGAGACTTCCTGGCTGCTTGGTTAAACAAGCATCAAGGTTACTGTATTAGTTGGCCAGTGAAGAATCAGACAGGCTTTAACAGCACCAGTCTACCAGGGAGACATTGGTTGTTAGAGGTCATTCTCGATGACTAACACAATGTGGAGATGGATTAAGAGAAGCCGGCAGAAACAGCCAAAGTGTAAATAGAAGGAAAATAGTTGTAAAAAATATTACATCTACATACTGTATGTACCTATAGATGGAACATTGAAAATAATGTACAGTTATTTTTTAAATAACAAATTAAAACCAATAATTAATCCAGTAAGAAAAACAAAAACCATTTCACCGGCATTCAGGATCCCAATTGTTATTACAAGGATTTTTTTCTGGGATTATGTGTTCCAGATCATACCAGGATTACTGTGAGATTAAGGACATTTTTGAAATGACAATAGACACAAAACACTAGACGAAGACATAATAGGGACACACAAATCTCCTACTACCCTTGCAAAACATTCAGGCAAGCGCACACACATGCACGAATGCACGCAAGCACACAAGCACGTGCGTGCACATACACACACACACACACAAACACACTTTCCCAGGAGCTACTTCATTCAGCCAGCCTACAGTGAGTTAAACACTTTGTCATGAGAGTTTATATTAGTAGTTCAGGTAGGTACTGTAAATGTAGTGGTGGCTCTCCACCATTACTCAAACGGGCAGCAGAAGCAGCATCATACACCAACTAGTCTATTGAAGAAGTGAGGAAGCTGTCTTCATGCATGCTTCAACTTCAAATTTAGCACAGTGCTGTTGGCATTTATCCATATTCCATTTTCCACCACACAGCAGAAAACATATCCAGGACACCCATTACAAACCGCCAAACAATAGCCTGAGGTATTACATTTGCAGTACACCACAGGCAAACATTTTGGCACCAGATCAAATCTGGTAATCAACTTCTTAAGGTGCATTCATCATGTGAAGTGAATTTTAGTTGTATAACTAATTAAAGCCTTTTCAGAAGACATTTGTTATTTGGATTCAACCTTGGATGGTTGACTTCTTTACATTTAGAATGCCAAAACTCCCAACATTAGTCAGTATTTGTGATTTGATGATGCCAAGTAAGTGAGAGCTCCTGATTTGAAGGTTACATTTGTGAACCCTCTTGAGATATCTTGGGGACAGCATGCATCATTCCAATGCAGAAGACACTTATTTTTATGAACCACACAAGTGGAGGGAGAGAACCAAAACTGTTGAGAGAATGAGAGGGAGAAAGAGCGAGAGAGAGAAAGAGATTGGGAGAAAGATAAAAAGCGAGGAAGAGAACACAAGCAAGAAAGAGAAAGAAAGTGAGACAGGGAGAGAGATAAAGAGGGAAATAGGAGGACTTACCCCAACGTGGTCATTGTAACAATGGTGTACCAGAAGGAGGCTGGAATGCTGGTGAACTTGGTCGACGACGACCCCTTTTCTGCGTAGAACATGACAGTGGCGAAGATGATGATGGCCATGGTGAGGGAGAAGAGGAGGAAGCCCAGCTCGGAGGCGCAGCTCTTCAGCGTGTACCCCAGGATCCTGAGGCCCTGCGAGTGGCGGGAGAACTTGAAGATGCGGAACACACGGAACACTCGAAGCGTGACGAAGGCCCCGCTCACGTCCTCGTTGTCTGTCATCACCAGGCCGATGTAGTAGGGAAAGATGGCCACCACATCGATGATGCTCATCACACTGCGCATAAATTGGTAGCGGCTGGGCGCGGCAAACAGTCTCATGAGGTACTCCACGGTGAAGATGAGGACGCAGGCTGTGTCCATGCAGAAGAAGGCGATGGTATAGCGCTCGCCACACGGCATGTCCTTCTGGGAAGGCGTGGCACCGCAAGGCACCGTCTCTATCACGTTGGTGAGGACTGAGATAGCGATGAAGAAGCCGGTGACGTAGTAGAACACCAGGGCCATGGTGGAGGTGTGAGGGTTCTCAAAGGCCCTCCACATGGTCTCTCTGTATGTCATGTTGGGCAGCTTGCAGTCCTTGTTGTCATCCTGGTCGTCCTGGAGACGCTCTGCATTCTCCCGCTTCCGGTCCTTGTACTCTTCGTAGCAGCAGTCGCCGATGATCTCCGGGATGATGCCGAAGAAGGTTAGCTCTTCGTCGTAGGCCGAGATGCACTCGTAGCGAGGATAGTGCAACTTGCCCGTCCGGTAGAAGTTGAGAATGCTGCGGAAGGAGTCTGGGTCCCGGTCGAAGAAATACTCCTTGGTCTCCTCATCGTAAAAAAACTGTTTCTCAGAGCTGCCCAGCAGGGTGTCTGGGTAGCGGTCCAGTGTGGTCCTCCAGGTCTGGAAGCGTCGTCCACTCACGTTCAGGATGATCAGCTCGTCATGTCTCTTTCTGTGGTCTCTAGGAGCGACAGGCATGGGGCAGTTGGCCACGGGCATCCAGCCAATAGCTGCTGCCCGGGCAAAGGGAAGCCATGCAGCCACTCCTGCCGCCATGGCGACTCACTCTGGCTTCCGGCTTGCCTTAAAATTATCTGCCATCTTGAGCAGAGAAACAGACAAAACACACAATCAGTAACAACTCATTTCCATGATAAGGTGGTTGCATGGTACAGTGCCTTCAGAAATTATTCACACCCCTTGACTTTTTCCACATTTTAGTCATTTAGCAGACGCTCTTATCCAGAACGACTTACAGTTAGCACATACATTATTTTATCGAACCCACAACCCTGGCATTGCAAACACCATGCTCTACCAACTGAGCTACATCCCCTGCCGGCCATTGCCTCCCCTACCCTGGGCCAATTGTGCACCGCCCCATGGGTCTCCCGGTCGCGGCCGGCTACGACAGAGCCTGGATTCGAACCAGGATCTCTAGTGGCACAGCTAGCACTGCGATGCAGTGCCTTAGACCACTGCGCCACTCGGGAGACTATTTTTTTGTGTTACAGCCTGTTGTGTTACAGCCTGAATTTAAAAGGCAATACATTTAGATTGTTTGTCACTTGCCTACACACAGTACCCCATAATGTCAAAATGGAATATTGTTTTTCTAATTTTTTACAAATTAATTAAAATTGAAAAGCTGAAATATCTTGAGTCAATAAGTATTCAACCCCTTTGTTATGGCAAGCTTACATAACTTAATGAGTAAAAATGTGCTTAACAAGTCACATAATAAGTTGCATAGACTCAATAATAATAGTGTTTAACATGATTGTTGAATGACTACCTCATCTCTGTACCCCACACATACAATTATCTGTAAGGTCCCTCAGTCGAACAGTGAATTTCAAACACAGATTCAACCACAAAGACCAGGGAGGTTTTCCAATGCCTCGCAAAGAAGTGTGCCTACTGGTAGATGGATACAAATTTAAAAAGCAGATATTGAATATCCTTTTGAGCATGGTGAAGTTATAGTTACAGTTACAGAGTTGAATGGCTGTGATAGGAGAAAACTGAGGATGGATAAACAACACTGTAGTTAGTCAATAATAGTAACCCACTTGACAGAGTGAAAAAAAGGAAGCATGTACAGAATACAAATATTCCAAAACATCCTGTTTGCAAGAAGGCACTAAAGTAATACTACAAAAACTGTGGCAAAGCAATTCACTTTATGTCCTGAATGCAAAGTGTTATGTTCGGGGCAAATCCAATACGACACATTACTGAGTACAACACCATATTTTCAAGCATAGTGGTGGCTGCATCATGTTATGGGTATGCTTGTAATCGTTAAGGACTGGGGAGTTTTTCAGAATGGCGCTAAGCACAGGCAAAACCTGGTTCATACTGCTTTCCACCAGACACTGGGAGATGAATTAACCTTTCAGCAGGACAATAACCTAAAACACAAGGCCAAATCCACACTGGAGTTGCTTACCAAGAAGAAAGGGAACGCTCCTATGTGGCCGAGTTACAATTTTTCTGCTTGAAAATCTATGACAAGACTTGAAAATGGTTGTCTAGCAATGTTCAACAACCAATTTGACAGAGCTTGAAGAATTTTGAAAATAATAATGGGCAAATATTGTACAATCCAGGTATGCAAAGACACTTAGAGACTTACCCAGAAAGACTCACAGCTGTAATCGCTGCCAAAGGGGATTCTAACATGTATTGACTCAGGGGTGTGAATACTGTTATATTTCTAGATTTCATTTTCAATAAATGTGCAAAATTTTCTAAAAACATGTTTTCACTTTGTCATTTTGGGGTATTGTGTGTAGATGGGTGAGAGAGAACATCTATTTAATCCATTTTGAATTCAGGCTGTAACACAACAGATTGTGGAATACGTCAAGGGGTATAGTATGAATATTTTCTGAAGGCACTGTAGGTGGTTTGCACTATAAGCTACTATAGTAAATCATAGTATTAAAATCCTTCCATTACATTCCAAAGAGTCTAATGCATTCAAAAAATATAAAAACATATTTTATGAAACAAAGGTTACTTCGCTGATGCTACTGTACTGTGTTCTCATGACTGTTGGAGCCACAATCCTGACTCTGTTTTTCAGCCCAACAGCAGCCCCACCACTTAGTGTGGTGTAAAAGGAAATGTAGCCACTCTTGAATTCATAGATGGAGCTATGGATGCAATAGCGCTTGATCTTGACTTTCAGTTCCATTACATTACACATATGAGTCATTGGATGAAGGTGTCTTCTGTACGGAGGAGTTTTGTTAAGAGTCCCGACACTACGTCTGAATATTAACATGCATCGCTTGAGGTATGGTTTTGGAACCTTATCTTTCATATACTGTAAGTGAGAAATAACTTCCAAAAAACTAAAGGTTAAATTGATACACACCTTTATGGGGTTAGGGTTAATGTTCCCACATGGCCATATCTCCATGTTTACGGAAGACAGACGGAAGACAGAGGGACCACCTGTGCTAATTAGCTATCTAGCGTGCTCCGAACACCTGTGTGTAACGGAAGAAGGCCAATAAAAAGCATGAGCTGGCGCTCACCCAGAGAACATTATTTAGTGTAAAGGTGCTGACTAACGGTGAATAAATTGTAAGCTACCAAAACAAATAAAGGGAGTCGCACACTCTAGGTACAGTGAGGGAAAAAAGTATTTGATCCCCTGCTGATTTTGTATGTTTGCCCACTGACAAAGAAATGATCAGTCTATAATTTTAATGGTAGGTTTATTTGAACAGTGAGAGACAGAATAACAACAAAAAAATCCAGAAAAACGCATGTCAAAAATGTTATAAATTGATTTGCATTTTAATGAGGGAAATAAGTATTTGACCCCCTCTCAATCAGAAAGATTTCTGGCTCCCAGGTGTCTTTTATACAGGTAACGTGCTGTACAGGTAACGTGCACAATCTTAAAGGGAGTGCTCCTAATCTCAGCTTGTTACCTGTATAAAAGACACCTGTCCACAGAAGCAATCAATCAATCAGATTCCAAACTCTCCACCATGGCCAAGACCAAAGAGCTCTCCAAGGATGTCAGGGACAAGATTGTAGACCTACACAAGGCTGGAATGGGCTACAAGACCATCGCCAAGCAGCTTGGTGAGAAGGTGACAACAGTTGGTGCGATTATTCGCAAATGGAAGAAACACAAAATAACTGTCAATCTCCCTCGGCCTGGGGCTCCATGCAAGATCTCACCTTGTGGAGTTGCAATGATCATGAGAACGGTGAGGAATCTGCACAGAACTACATGGGAGGATCTTGTCAATGATCTCAAGGCAGCTGGGACCATAGTCACCAAGAAAACAATTGGTAACACACTACGCCGTGAAGGACTGAAATCCTGCAGCGCCCGCAAGGTCCCCCTGCTCAAGAAAGCACATATTCAGGCCCGTCTGAAGTTTGCCAATGAACATCTGAATGATTCAGAGGAGAACTGGGTGAAAGTGTTGTGGTCAGATGAGACCAAAATCGAGCTCTTTGGCATCAACTCAACTCGCCGTGTTTGGAAGAGGAGGAATGCTGCCTATGACCCCAAGAACACCATCCCCACCGTCAAACATGGATGTGGAAACATTATGTTTTGGGGGTGTTTTTCTGCTAAGGGGACAGGACAACTTCACCACATCAAAGGGACGATGGACGGGGCCATGTACCGTCAAATCTTGGGTGAGAACCTCCTTCCCTCAGCCAGGGCATTGAAAATGGGTTGTGGATGGGTATTCCAGCATGACAATGACCCAAAACACATGGCCAAGGCAACAAAGGAGTGGCTCAAGAAGAAGCACATTAAGGTCCTGGAGTGGCCAAGCCAGTCTCCAGACCTTAATCCCATAGGAAAATATGTGGAGGGAACTGAAGGTTCGAGTTGCCAAACGTCAGCCTCGAAACCTTAATGACTTGGAGAAGATCTGCAAAGAGGAGTGGAACAAAATCCCTCCTGAGATGTGTTCAAACCTGGTGGCCAACTACAAGAAACGTCTGACCTCTGTGATTGCCAACAAGGGTTTTGCCAGAAAGTACTAAGTCATGTTTTGCAGAGGGGTCAAATACTTATTTCCAAATCAATTTATAACATATTTGACATGCGTTTTTTCTGGATTTTTTGTTGTTGTTATTCTGTCTCTCACTGTTCAAATAAACCTACCATTAAAATTATAGACTGATCATGTCTTTGTCAGTGGGCAAACATACAAAATCAGCAAGGGGATCAAATACTTTTTTCTCTCACTGTATAAACTCCCAGTAAATTATTGGGTAAGAAACCACCAACGTTTCAGCATCACTGTGCCTTATTCAGGGTCTGGCCGCCATGTTGTCACTGAAAAATACTGTCATCTGCAACTGTGTTGAAGCGGGTTAAAACAGAGTACAGTAAGTGTACACTCGTTGGCCAGTTTATTAGGCCACCACCCCGTTCACGAAAATGGTTCGCTCCTACAGACACTTGGCCATGGCTTGCTATTTAAAGCAGGCAGACAGGCATCGAGGCTGTTACTGTTCGATTGAACATTAGAATGGGCAAAACAAGTGACCTAAGCAACTTTGAGCGTGGTATGATTGTCGGTGCCAGGCGCTCCGGTTACAGTATCTCACAAACGGCCTTCCCTTCTGGGCTTTTCACGCATGGCAGTGTCTAGGGTTTACTAAGAATGGTGCAACAAACAAAAAACATCCAGTCAGTGCCAGTTTTGTGAGGCGAAAACAGCTTGTTGATGAGAGGTCGAAGGAGAATGGCAAGAATCGTGCAAGCTAATAGGCGGGCCACAAACAGGCAAATAATGGCGCAGTACAACAGTAGTGTGCAGAACGGCATCTCGGAAAGCACAACTCGTCGGTCCTTGTCCCGGTTGGGCTATTGCAGCAGACGACCACACCGGGTTCCACTCCTTTCAGCAAAAAACAAGAAGCAGCTCCAGTGGGCACGCGATCACCAACACTGGACAATTGATCAGTGGAAAAACATTGCCTGGTCTGACGAATCCCGGATCCTGTTGCATCATGCTGACGGCAGAGTCAGGATTTGGCGTAAGCAGTCCACGGCCCCA